GTCTCTCTTAGAATTAGACTTATTTAAATGAATGAGAGCAAAGTTTAGCAAGCATGCCAAGTATTTGTCAACTTTTACAGAGGAGCAGAAAGCATCCTGACTTGAAACATTACAAATTGGCATGGCCAGTGCACAGCGCAGGACAGAAGGGCTCTGCAACAGGTTATTAAAACAGCCGAGAACATCATTGGTGCCCCTCTACTGAGCGTCAGAGATATTGGTGAGGTGAGAAGCCTGCGCAGAGCCCAGAGGATACTAAAAATCAAAACCCACCCCAGCAACAGCCTGTTCACTCTTTCCGCCATCTGGCAAGCAATACAAAAGTATTTGCTGCTGTATACCACCAGATTACAGAGTAGCTTCTTTCCTCCTGCTGTAAGAGTCCTCAACTTATCCTCTGTATGCACCACAATAAAAATAGTTTTGTTCTGTCATGTTTTTTCTCGTGAAGCATGAAGGGACTATAATTTTCATTTTGTTGTGAAGCCCTGTGTTGTAGAATGACAATAAATAAACCTCGAACCTCTGGGAAAAAAGCCCAAGAGTTGAATGAATGGGCAAGAGTTATATTTCAACCATTTGGTTCAGTTTTTATTATATCTGACTGATTTGAACTAGAGCTTCATACACACCTCTACTAAAGCAGGCTATTTGGGGTTAACACAACTGTAGTCTCGCTCACCAGACCTTTCTCAAGAAAAGAAAGGTCTGGCTGGGCCGACTCTCACTTTGAGATTGGAGAAAAAAACGCCCCGGCTGCTTGTACTCCTTTCAACCAATCACAATCGTTCTGGGCGGTGCCACAGCAACGGTGCGCTTGCAAAAATATTGCCAGGGGGAAACAGGTTTTGGTGTAACACGCCCACAAAAATATCACCTACAGGACGCGAACCATGGCAGAAAAATGGCTACATCCCCGCAAGATCAAACACCACAAAAGTTAGTAAAGGACGTGTTGAAAACGGTTGAAAACTGCTACACAACCGGAGGTGGTAGGGCGGGACTTCAGTGGGTGGCTCATTCCGCCCAATGAGAGGCTGATCTCTGCAGCAAACTTCCACCCACTCAGACTAACACAACTGTAACAGTATTCATGATCCCATTCATTGATTGGCTGGCAGTATAACCCCTGACACACATTTCTGTTCACCAAATTATATGTTTTATCCCTCCATACTCCATATTGAAATGGCTTGGATGTAACTCCACACCTTTACACCTCTACACTGATCTATAAATATGCAAATGAACTCCTCCCCCCAGTCACTCGCCTGCTGCTCATATGTACCTGCTCACCTTTACTCTCCTCATCAAGCACAGAAACTTCTGCTTGTCTACCAGTATGTTATCAAACACCTGGTAATGTGTTACTAATTTTAGAAAAACCTTGTTTGGGATTGCCAACTCTGACAAGTTGAAGTGAACGCTTAAGTTAACTTGAAAAATACCAATACATAGCAACACCTGACTTCTCCTTGTTTTGCTGTTATGAAAAGCCCAACCCTGCATGTTGACAGGATTGGTTCCTTAGGTTTGTGATGTCACAAACCCTGGAGGTCTGAATCTGAGTTTTAAGACACTTATACACTGCAGTTTCAAGGCAAGAAATGCCCAGCAATAGTGCTGACTGCTTTTTTTGCTTGTGTAGCATAAAAAATCTTCATATGGACATGTTAACAAGGCTAACTTGGTTTTCATTGAAGGGGCTCTTTGAATGTTGGTGACATAGTAAGGAGTACTACCGACTTCATGTTTTAACAGTAACAGTATTCACATAACAGACAATACTTGTTAGAACCACCACTTTAAAACTACTTGAATCAACATTTAAATAATTTTAATATGATCAGATCCCTGTGTGTAGTGTTTCGCTCCTGGAGATAAGCCCACTGAAAATTATCAGCCAACTCTTCAGTTTACCTCAGCTCTATGGAGCATTTTATTGTCTTTTGGCCCATTCCTGGCTGGTACCTTACATCAACGTGACATCAGAAAGACATTGGACTCTCACTTGGATGTTAAGTTCTGGTTGGAATGAAAATCAGGCTGATGCTATTTTAAATATCTGTCAATGTTAATAATTCATTTTGTGTGGACATTATGTCTAAATTTTGTCACTTTTTGTCAAGATGACTTTGGCATGAATTGTTTGGAATATGCTGGATTTTTGATACTTATTAACACGACTTAAAACCAACAAAATGTCATCAGTCATCAGTATGCCACCTCAGATTGATGTTGGTTTAAGACATTGTGCTGACATTGAATTTTGGTCACCCAACGTCACAACCTAAATTCAACCAAATGTCAATGTCTAACAATGTTGGTGGCCAGTTGGGTTGTTTTGGTTTTACAGCCTGCTTTTGGTTCAGCACCCTGCCAGCAGACAGGCAAGGTCAGCATCTATGGTGTCAGAATAATGTAGCATTTATCAGCTAAAGTGTCACAAAGTGTGTTTACCACTTGTTTCTGCTGCCTCCAAATTGCCCAAAAATCACTTAATCCATTGTCTTTATGCAGACAATCAGACATTTTGTCACACAAATCAATGTCCTCTTGCATGCAAATTAAATTCTAATCCTCTATCAGACCTGTTCATATATAGATTATGTTGGATTTTTTTTTAATACAAGACAAGAACCCCATCAGGACTGCATAGAAAGTACATGCACTTGCACAGTCAATAACCTGAAACACTGCAGTGTTTTAAATGCTGTTTGTCTGCTGCACTTCACCTACAAATCAGCAGAGAAATCTTGGCTACCTGCTGCTGCCCATTGCATTCAGAGCGACACATTAAGCACATGATTATTCTGTGGGGTGCAGCTTCAGCTTAATATGATTTGGTCCTTTTCACACTGCAGTGTGGACAGCAAGGCAATAATATGCAATTTGAAAAACAAATGGGATCTTCCTGCAGCGTGCACATAACTTAAATAGATGCAAACATAGCTTCTTCACCATCAAGCATCAGGCAGAACAGATCATCATAACAGAGTGAAAGCAGCGTGAGACAGCAGTGGGTGTCACAGTGCACAACAAAACACAGAGAAGAGTCTCTAGGTGTTAAGCTCAAATAAAAATAACATGTTGGGATGTTTTTCTCAGTTTCAATTGGCCCAGACTGCCAACTTTCTCAGCTCCCTTATGTCGTATCACTGTATCCATTTCTCTCTAAGCTTGTTACCATGTCCTTCTTTCTTCCTGGTCTCGACACTGTCCTTCCTTTATTCTTTAACTTCTTACCTTAACCTTTCCTTCCCGTTCTGTTTTTGCACCTTTGCCTTTTCAACCTTTCCATTTTGTCCTTTTGCATCTGTTTAATTTGCCTGTTCCGCGATACGACCAAGGCATGCTGTCACTTTCGCTTCAGCTCTTCATTTCCCTAGACCTCTCTGCCCTTGTCTCTTGTGATAAAAGAAATAATAGCCTCTTTGTAGTTTTGCCCAGTGATTATACGGGTCATGAATAACTTATTACTGTTGAGATACAGGGACACAGCACCTCCATTAGATACTGCTTTACAAGAGTCTATTAAGAGCAAGCAACAGGGCTGTAGACTTGAGGCTTAAGTCAGGCACAATAATGAGGACTTGGACTTGACTGAGGCCTCGACTTGAAACTTCAAAACAAAAAGATTTACGTCTCAAGCTCTGACCTGATGAAATCCCAGAATTTACAAAAGGCCGTGATATACTCCAAAGCTAAGGTTTAACTGAATAGCAGAAGCACATGTGCGCACAGTCAGTGCTAGCACTCCTAGAAAATATGGTTTGAACCTTTGAGTGTGTGAAGTGTGAAGCAGTGTGAACATGAATGTAAGTGCTTCAGTAAATGCTTTGTCATTTTTAAAAGACATCATTCAGAGACCCGAAGGACCTGCGACTGACTTGCAATTTCCTTGTGAAGACCGAGGGGGCTAAAAAGAGGATATGGCGTCATATCAGTAACTGCAGTATAATTTGGTCTGCACTAGCCAAAGGCATCCGCAAGGTCAGAATATATTCTTTATGCAAAATAAAGATATGAGTGAGAATTACAAATCCGCTATTACTGAAAAGATCTTTATCAAAGACAGTAATGCTTTATTTTTGAAAACATTTTACTGTATATTGTTCGAGATACGTTTGAGTGTGCCCAAAAAGTTGTTAGGTTGAGTGCAGAAGCTAAAGAGAGCACACTGTAAGAGCACCTGAGAGAACACCATCCCTTCATTTCTAGGGCCGTCCGCTGTAACCCTCCAACATCGCCACTATACATTACATATGGTTAGAGAACATGCCTCAACCTACATTTAATAGCCTTGGTTAAGACATAACTTTCCCTCTAAAGGCTTAAAAACTGCTCTGTAATGCAACACATTTTAATTAGTCCTCTACTAGAGCCTGAAATAAATTACAAAATAAACCCAAAGCTGTATGGTGTTGTGTTGTGTTGTTGCTGTCAGCTAATGGAAATATTGATTTGTGCAAGTTGGGGAAAAAAACTCTAGATTTTATTTTTCATCAAATTATAACATGTTTTTTCATTAGGTTTTCTATTCACGATAGCTTCATGCAGTGCTGTCTGTATTAAACAAGAAAATGTACAATTCTCTCCTTCTCTCCAAAATCACCTCGGGTGCTGTTACACTGTCATTTTCAATCCTCTCCAAGTTGTTTTCTATGGAGCTCTACATCAGAAGGCAGCAGCAGAAATGTCTCTTTCATGCTTCAGGTTATGCAAATCAGGAGTAAATGCTCACCTTCAAAGTCTGAATTATGCTTAAAGTACAACCATTTCATGATTCTTCTCCCTCATCTTCTTTTGCCATTTCCATATTCCTGTCCTGTTTTTTGGGCATTTTTTCCCACCCTCTCCATGTACACCCTGTCATGCAGCCTATCACTTTATCTTTTCCTGAAATTGTCTCCTACTGTCCTCTGCTATCACACTTACTGTATGGCCACCTTATCCACTTATCAAGATGTATCCCTCCTTCTCCTTCTCCCCTTATTTAGGTCTGGTGGCCACGATAAAGGAGCATATAACGCAGCCGACAGCGATGGCCCAGGGGCGAGTTGCTCACCTGATTGAGTGGAAGGGTTGGGGTGGAGGTGGTGAAGCTGGGGGAGGTGGGGGTGGTTGGAGCGGGGCCCGGGGTAAAGGAGGCGGAGGCTGGGGGGGGATAGGGGCCGAGCTGCAGGAAGATGAGCAGTTCTACTCCCAAATGACGGACGAGATCAAGGAGGCTCGCTTCGCTGCAGGTGAGACAGACGAATGAATTGAATTTAAGAAAAACAAGATGTGGTCAGTGGAGATAAAGTGACGGTCAGATCCCTTTGGGCATTGTGTCTGTTCGATTGGCTCATGCAGAAAGAGCGTCTGCAAAAATCAATAGTCCTTAAGACGTCCCATGACAGTGGCTCAAATGTAGTGCACTTATTGGATTTCCCTTTGTTTGTGACTGTGGTAGACTTGGTGAAAAACAACTGGGGGTCGACTTCTCAGAAAAAGAACATAAAATATGTTTGTTTCACAGGCGTAGCAGAGCAGTTTGCCCTGGCTGAGGCATCAATGAATGTGTGGTCGATGAACGACGGCTTGGAGCAGCCGTCCACCAGTTTACAAGGTTGGTCATGTAAAAGCTTGTTCATGTGTCACTGGAGCTTTTGGTCTAAAATACCTCTTTTATCTCAAGTTAAAAGTTCTCCATGGGGTGTGCTGCAAACTTTGCAGATGAAAGTGAATAAAAAGATAAAAACACTGAAACATTAAGGTATTTCTGCTGTAATAATCTCATCTGGGTTTGTCTGATTATAATCTCAAAGTACAAATTTTACCTTGAAATATTGTCTTTAATGTTGATGATGGATTTTTGAGAGAAACTTGACATATCAGATAATAGAATCAACACCTGTTGCACAACATAATTGATTTTACTGTATATACCCTATGCAAATATATATGATGAAGTAAATACTGGTATTAAAGATCTAGTTTGTTGTAACCTTCAGAGCTGGAAGAATCATGAGTGTGATGCGTGTAGTTTGTAATTTCAGTTCAGTTTTCAACCACACTAATGACATTGCTGCACAGTCAGCCTCTCTGTTGAACTCTAATTCTCCACTTATGAAGGACTGGCATGAAACTGTGTACACACAGTCTTGGTCTCCAGAGGATGACACTTGTTGACTGTAGTGATGCCATGGCTTGTAATCAATCACTACACAATCATATATGTGGTAGACATGTTGAAACTTTACCTTTATTATCAGTTTTCAAATGTATGTTATTACAGCACTGTGGTTAACATATGATTATGTTTAGGCATAAAATCCACTTGGTTGGGTTAGGAAAACATCTCGTTTTTGCTTAAAATACCAAGTGTGGGCACCACAATCACGGCTGGAAATGTCGCGATGTGTCATTAAAAACTACCCAGTTTTGTTGTTTGTTGGCCTTGTTGTTTGTCAGCTGTTTCACCAGGTGTCACGCTATTCATGAACCCCTCCTCTTAATGAGAAACTCATATCATATACATGTAATTCGATCTACGTCACTTTAGAAAAATATGATTCGTATGACATGATGTAACAATGTAACATATCTATGGTTTGCAGAAACGTACAATGCTCACTTTTTATCTTGGCAATTGGGCTGGACACCAGTGGGTCAAAATTCTCCCTTTCAACAGTTCAAAAGTTAATATCATGAAAATAATGACCATATTACAATCAGGTTAGCATGCTGATGCTAGCATGTTAACAGGCTTTGCAGGTAAATTATTTATTTATTTTTTTTTTTTTAAATCATAGTCTATACAGTCAGCATGTAAGTAACACTTGTTTTAACTCAGCCAATCAACATTTGAGGTGTCAGATTTGCTTGAACTGTTAAAAAACCCTAACATTATGAATGCCTTCGGTAACAGTGTTTTTCCCTGTAATTACTATTTGAGAACATTGTCCTTGAAACCTAATAGCAAAATGATATCTGTTTAAACTGAACAGCTAGATAAGCATAAAATAAATTCAATTAAATTCAATTCAGAGCACTTTATTCATCCCTGGGGAGGGCAATTTAAAAGGCACACAGAGTAGCACATTATGTTACCACATAAAAGCATTTATCCTTCATACATATCTTGTTTTACCTGTGGAGGAAATTACTTTATTCCATTAATTAAAAAATAAGTCCTTGAACATGCGATCCTCATGAATTAACATGTATTTTCACACAGAAATAGCTTTCACACTCACAGTCTTGTGTCATTAGCTACATGCCGTGCAGCAGCTGGTAAATGGCACCTTTTTTTATCCAATTCAAGCACTGAGCATATCTCTGCTATTTCTGTAATTTAACAGTGTGAAGAGCTACAGCTTCTAAAATCCGTACACCCTGAGAGGACCCAGCTGCCACTGTTTGCGTATTTCAAATGAATTCTTCCATGTTTTCAAGGAGCAATCATTTGACTTATACTGTTATTATCCCTCCACAGCAGCACAAAGCCACTTCTTGTCCCAGTTCCTGCTGGACGGTGGAAGCGTTAGCGTTCCCCAACACCTGTACAGCATCCACGCCCAGACTTACGGCGACAACAGGGCGGCCAATCTGGTCCCTCCATCAGTGGTTGACTCCATTTCCCCAACGTCCAACACCCAGCAGGACAGAGAACATCCCCTCGAGGACAAGAGCACTGCGACTGCAGAGGCTGCTGTACGACATGTAGACAGCAGCTCGCTATCTGAGGATGACGTTTTTTATAATTAGGTTTAACAGGAAAACAAGCCAGCAATTTTGATGGCAATCTCTTAAATGAGCCTCATTGAGGGGACTTGAGTCTCAGCCACCAGCACCGACTGCTACAAAGAAAAAAAAAAGGTAGACATCAGAAATATCTCAAGAGGCAATTCCACAAATGGCTCGTCTGGGAAGGTTTCAGCATCTGGTCTTCAGATACAGACTCCAAATTGTATTTTCTCTCCAGTTGAGGCGTATACTTTTGTGAATGTACATAGTTCCACTGTTACATTTTTATTTTTTATTCAATGTACATTAAACACTTTCATATTATAGGTAGAACTGAACTGTGAAGAGTCAAACGATACTGGTGTAAATCTTGTTATTAAACATCAATTTTAATATATGTGCTGAGTATATTTGTCCAGTTCTAGTTTTGATCCCTTTCTCATTCACACTGGTGAATTGAACAGATGAATGCAGTGAAGGGGCAACAAAGTCTGACCTTAAGCAATTTCAGTAGAGAAAATAAGAAAGAAATTGATTTGTCATCTTTGAGGTTTCTCATCTTAATCAAGAGAGACGTCTGTTGTAAAGAAAGCGTACAATTATCTGTCTGAGTCCCAGCTATGATTAGCTATTATTCACACTCTTCTGTCTGAGAGCGACAGCAGCAGGGGAGTGGTGCAGAGAAAAGACGAGTGCAGAAAAACACAGAATCCGTCAGCGTGCATGTGGTTCCACACGTATGTCAGCATGCCTGTGTATGGTGTTAGTGTTACTTGTCACGGTGTTTCTTTTAGCACAGGATTACACAAAACGAAGCTGTGCCCTGTGGTGCGTCATTGCTGTTTCCCCTTTTGTTATCTCAGTGGGACTGAATGGTTTTCAATTGATGTGGGAAAAAAATCAAAAGGCTATGCACGGCTGATATGATCACATCCATCATGACACAAAACCCCTTAAGCAAAGACATCAACTGATTTGAGACCTACGTAGCTCTCCAGTGCACAGCGGCGCACCATGGGGCCACTGAAAATCTTGGGGTGGCACACCACAACCAAAAGCCATTCAGGATTTCCTTCTGCTGTTGAAGTATAGGCTCAAAATGATCCCACACTTCCTGCCTGACATGTTATTAACTAGCCTGTGTAATCACTGCAGGTACCAGCCATGTAAATTATTGGCCGTACACATGCTGTGTCTTTAACTGCCTGGAAAATGCGAGGTCAAGCACAGGGCACTATTCTTGTGCCTTTTTGTGTGCCAGCTTTCAAGAGAGTGGCAGCAGGTTGCATCTGAGGTTGCTGGGCAACCTTAATAAGCACTGTATCACAGCACCCGGAGCTCCTCCAGGTGCTGTTTAGATGTGTGTCGACTGTGGGCCAGATGTAAAGTTCTGAGTAGCCCTGCACTAAGAAGATAAACTTTTTTGTGTTCATCATAGACTGAATATTTATGGAAGAAGGGAAGGATATCTGTCAGCTGTGACTGGTTTGTAATGTGATTCCTGTCTGACTGCTGAGCGTGGCGTCTTGCTGTGTCTGTCCTTTCAAATTGAGTTCCCACACGCTCCAGTCATGTTAGTTTTGATTTATTTTGACGAGGTGCAGCTCCTAATAGAGTTTCACCTTTACTTGTTTTTTTGTGCTACTCAGGACATATTCACACTGGTGCTATTTGGTCCGCCTCAAAGAACCCTGGTCCGCTTCTACGGATAGTTCAGTTCATTTGGAGTGGTGTGAACGCCCATTCGAACTCTAGCGTGGACCAATGAGCGAACCTTGGTCCACTTGAAAACTGGGGGTCTCGGTTCACTTGCAAGTGAACCCTGGTGCAGTTTGCTTACAGTGGGAAATGCAAACGGACTATCCGGTGAACCAAAGAGAAGAAGTGAACCAAAGAGAGGAAGTGACGTAGAGCGTGGTGCATTTTAGGTAGAAAAAAATCCCAAAGCCAATGGTGTGAACCGGGAAGCAGAGGTAAAAACAAGAAAAAGCTGAAAAATGTCTCGTGGGCAGACGTGGAGTAGTGAGGAGGTGCAGACGCTTACCCCAAGTCTGCATAAATTTGATGTTGCTCCATTGTTTTTGTGGTGACCAAGCCAGCTGAAGGGGATGGACTTCCATTTTCAGTCCTGGCCAATCAATGAGTTGGGTTTTCCTCTTCCTCATGCTTTTTTTCTTCTTTTTCTTTCTCTGGTCAGTGGTCTCTCGGGCAATACCGCCCCAAAAGAGCAGCTATTGTAACTGCGTGACATTGTCCAGGTGGTTTGGTGCAGTGTGAAAGTCAACTGAACCAAATAAAGGTGTGAAAGTTTTCGGCATTCCTCACCCAATCAACCTGAGTCCCCAGACTATCCTGCTGTGAATGCACCCTAAGCGACCAATTAAATCAGTTTTTTAATTTACAGTTAGTATTACAAATTATCTGATGTACATATAGAGTAATAATGGTGCGGTTAACACTTTGAGTTCCACAACAATCCTGTTTAATGTGTTAGGTTTTTATACATTTAAGCGATTCATTGTTCTGTGAATAGTTGTCTGATTCTTTCTAAAGACAAATATTCAGCTTTAGGCAAGGCAAGGCAAGTTTTTTTATACAGCACATTTCAGCAACAAAGCAATTCAAAGTGCTTTACATAAAAAAGCATCACGACAAAGTGCAAAAGAAAAACATTTTAAAAGGACATTTGAAAGCAGTTCATTAAAGAACCAAAGAATAGGAAATAAAATGTTAAAATACACTAAACAGGCATAAAATATATGATTAAAAGTTACACTGCAATAATAAAAATTACAGCGTAGTGTAAAAAAAGAATAAATATTTGATTTAATAAAAGGCAGCGGCAAACAGAAAAGTCTTCAACCTTGATTCTAAAGTGAGAATTGGTGCAGACCTGCAGTTTTCTGGGAGTTTGTTCCACATATGTGGAGCATAAAAATTAAATGCTGCTATTTGGGCCCTAAACCATTTAGTGCTTTGTAAACCAGCAGTGTAGAAGTTTGAAGTAGATTCTCTGACAGACAGGAAGCCATTGTAGAGATCTCAGAGCAGGAGTGACGTGATCTACTTTCTTGGTCTTAGTTAATTTAAAAGAGTACATAAATTGTAAGGAATGAAACATTCACTGGGAACAAGCCTTCTGAAGTTTAGGGGAGACTCGTTTTTCCCATTGAACCCATTTTCATTCAGATAACTTGAAGTGAGAATTCAAGAGACCCCTTTGAAAGTCGCCATGCCAGCTGTTCCCTTGCCAAAATTTAGCTTCAGTTTGGAGCGTTATTTGGCCCTCTCCCTGATGAGATATGCCAACATGGTGGGTACAAATGGATGCCTTAAGCTGTCTTTCGATCTTCATGCTAGATTAAAAAATGTGCATGCCACAGCCTCTTAAAGACAGGGATATCAACCTTTAATTATTTTAGAGAAGAGTGGCCAGTAGGAGGGGTCAGGGTTCCCCTGCCCCCCTCTGGGGGTGCCAATGCCAAAGCAAGAACAACAACTATGGTAGCTTTGCTGTGCGAAGGAAATGTAACAGTATCGAACTGGACGGTTTCACTCTGACAAGATGCAAGTCACTGTAGCTTTGCTTATAAAGACAGAATGGTTCTTTTAATAAAATCAATATAGTGTCTGAACACTTTGAAAGAGTGTCTGGAACATGTAACCAGCAAACACAGACTGGAGCTGCTCTTCAGAAGTGGGATTTAATGCTACTAGATTAGAATCTTGTTGCATAAAGAACTGTAAGAAATAAATTTCCTTCTTCGTTCACTTTAAATGTCCTTAGAAAATGAGTTGCACAAGCATATGTCATCTCCTTAGATAATAACCCCCTCAGTCTTAAAGTGTGATTTATGGCTTTTAATAATTCATTGAAGGTTAATTACAGTTTATTAAAACTTTGCTTTTATTTTTACAAGTCTGGTGTAATGATGTTACTGTGGTCTAAGATCTCAGTAATTACATTGTTGAGTAAAATGTTATCATAACCAATCGAAATGCTGGCCAATGCTAGGCAAACAAGATCCTTTAAAATCTGCCTTCAAGCAACAAACATAATTGTATTCACAGTTTTCCTGAATTTTAATTATCCTACCAGAAATGCAGTCACAGTAATTTAGACTGCAATCAAGATTTGATTAAGCTGAGCAGTAACCTCGTTACCAAGGCAACTCATGCCATATCCCTGATGTTAATGTGAGAAATCAGTCAACACGTTACCTTATAGCTACTATGAGAAAATATGTAATGCACATTATTCTGAAGACTGAAGCAGTTTTAACTAAGGACTCCAAACATTTAAGGGGAAACTGACCCTTTGCTAGGTTCTGCCCCTCAAACGCAGACTGGCTAATCACAGTGCAACATCAGCCAGCTCTGACAAGGGTCTGACAACTCCACAGCTGTGCTCCATCACTCATTTCCTTCATTTTCAGGCTGCTTTTGTGGATTTAGAGCTAAATGTTGTGCCTGGGGCACGATTGTTAAGGATACTTGTTATCTGGAAAGGTTGAAAGGAGATATATGTTTCTCCCCTGTTCCAAAATTAAACCCAGGAAAGTGTAGCTAGCTAGCTATTGAAGGTACAGACAACTAAATATATGCTGCTTTTGCTTTTAAATATAATAACACTGAATAAAGTCCTTCTCTGCTCTATGGTAACCAGTGAAGGGAAACAGGGAAATTTTGGCAATATTCAACCAGCTGTGTGTTATCGCAGTGTGTGCAGATGAACATTGTTTGGCTTTTCTGGAGCTCCCTGCCTGCCAGAGGAGGACCTGTGGTGGAGGTCCACACACTGGTGGCACAGGGGGAAGCCAAACACTGTTCATCTGCACACATTGTAGTGCCACACAGCTGACTGAATATCAGCAAAGTTTCCCTTTATTTTCATGTCCTTCTTTCTGGATCAGCAGTGATGTGGTGGTTCACTTTTACACTGTGATGTGAAGCCTATAGTTCGGCTTTGGTTTCTAACCATCGTTGTCTTGGTGAAATGTTGACCTGACTTTCACAGTTTGGGCCTCAGTTATTGTCTCGTCCACCGGCTCGGTTCGTCTCCCAGTCGAAACCGACTGGTGCCACTGGTCCGAGCAGGCTGGACATTGTAAGGTCGGCCCATCTGTCAAGCTGAGTTCCTCTCTCCATGACATGGTAACATAACATTGGTCTTTGTGGACATTTAACATTACTAAGAACAGTTAGGTTTATGTCACATACACAGACATGCAGACAGTGGATTGCATTAAGTTGTGGGTCACTACTACAACAAATGAGGCCTGCAGTGAGCTATATCAGCTAGGTAACATTAGCTAGGTAGATCTACTCACTCGTTTCTACTGATTAGTTCAGCTTAGTTGCTTTTGGTTGGTTCAGGACAATCATGGTGCTTCTCTGTGTGCTGTTTGGCTGACAGCATAAGAAACCGATATCAAATATATACTAATGGATTTAGCAAAACTGGGCAGGGTATTGATAATTGATATCTTTGAGGTATTGATTGAAATAACCCAGTGCCAAGTAGTATTGAAACTTCTTTATTCAAACGATACTCGCATTTGATCTTGTTTGAACCCAGACCTAGAAAAAAATGACTATTGTGCTCGCAAGCATTTAATGTGATGTGTGATTGGACCACTACAGCAGCAGCTGCAACCCATACAGTCTGTGGTGAGGTGTAGTCAAGCACGATGTATTTGATGAAGCAGACAGTTCATCGTGCTGAGATGCCAAAATATTCAAAAGAATGGCTACATTACACGCCTGTGGTGTCTGGTGGCTCTTTTCACAACTCAATGCCTCCATTCACATGATGGTATCAAATGTAGAAAAATAAAGTAATCAAATGAATTATTCTATTGGTTTCTGTATCACTTTCACAGTATTGAGACTGGTATTGTATTTTTTTAAATGACACCCAGCTTCAATCATGACAAGATGTTGATGCAGCTTTGTCAAACCAGGCAATATTGTTGTGGTGGATATGTGATGGTTTACTTCTCCCAAGAATATTTCAGTGGTCTGCAACGTGATTTTCATAGCGTACTGAAATAAAAAGAAACCAAGGGCTGCATCATGGAAAGTAAAAAGTCAATCCCAAACTCTAAAAAAAAATCACATCAGCAGGGTTACATTGTGTTAATTGGTGTGCAAACTGTTTTACAGGTGTTGCTTTAAATCCCCCATATTATGGACACTTTTAATATTGCTGTGTCACAAAGTGCGGCTCAATGGACATGATAAGGTGCTATCCCCCCAGTGGGTGACATCCTGCTAATTACTATAGAAGACAACAGCCTCTAGCTTGTTTGTGATTGTGTGCAAATATTGTGACACTTGGGTAATGAAGAAGTGATATCATTATCAGAGCCAGGCTTGTGTTACGATTAATCAGACAGGGATGGATTAGTGTTTGCTTAAAAAAAGGTCAAGGGATGAGCTTACATCCTGAGTGCTGATGCTTAGATTTCTGTGGCCAAGTCTTCTAATATTCTCTTCATCTGTAGGAGAAAATAGAGAAAGAAATGGCAAGGGAGGAAAGAGACAGCTATGAATCTGTAAGTAGCCATTTTGCTTCCCACACTCTGCATAATGTTAACAAATTCGCACAGGGACACAGACTTGTTTGCAAAGTGCATACAGATGAGATAAGCACACACAGAGGAAGATAATCAAGTTGTATGCATAATTATATTTTTGAGTCTTGGTGAGTGGGAATACACACATTATATGCACTGATTACCTCTGGCCATGTGATGAGTCCGACCAGCCTCCCCCTGTCTGCGACAAACAAGGTCTGAGCTCCAACCAGACTCAGGATACTGTGGGCCTGTGAGGAAACAATGTTTGAAGTAACCGATTCTTAAACAATTGCTCACCATTTGGGAAAATATACTTGTTTACTTTCTTTCTGAGAGTTACATAAAAAGATTAATACCAATCAATGGTGTAAAATTTGGTAGAGACACAAGGATTATGTCCCCACCAATATCCAGCGACTACTGAACTGTCACTAGCAATAATTTTGATCAAAAATTAAAACATAACCACTGTTGTTCGTCAGTGTCTAGTCAATGTATAAAAGTCAATGTGATGTGATCAGATTTTGGATTACTGCAGAAAATAAACTCCATGGCAAACAAAAGTTTATGATACTTTCACATTTTGTTTAGCAATATCATCTTCACAAATGAACACCTTTTTATGACTTTCGGAGGGTAAATTCAATAGCTAATATTAGGCTACAAATTACTTAACAACTTAACGTTGCCACAACAACAAGGCTATGAAGCCATGTTGAGGGTGATGATGTTCTGTAGTCTAATTTAGCCTCGTTTTAGCAACTGCATTTTTTATGACATGTAAAAGCTTCAAAAATCATGAGGGTGGTATTTACTGATGTTTTTTTATGTTGTGGAACAAAACGTGAAAGTCTTATTTTAGAAATACAACCATAAACCCATTAAAAAAAGGAGGGAACTTGAAGTGCTAAAATGCTAACTTATTTTTAGGTTCAGTAGTCCTTCCTGCACCACTCTACTGTCAACTGACACCTGAAATAATGTCTTTGACGCTCAATATTTCCTACAGAATGACCCCCAGACCCACAGTTTTATATGTGACCCCCCCCCAGATGTTGAAATGAAACCTATGCCCTTACCAGTTTTTACTTGTTTTTGGCTAGTCTTGGTCTCATCCAAGTCCTGAGGGATATATCTGGATCCTTAGCTGCTAAATGCTCCACTGTGCAGTGGGAATAAACCTCAACAATCAAGTTGTGGGCCGGACAGCTAAACAATGTAGTCAATATGGTTAGCCTAGCTTAGCATATAAATGGAAACACAGGAAAACATCTAGGCCACACTCTGCGAATGAAAAGATACAAAAAAAAAATTACACTTATTAACACGAAAGGAGGAGTAGGAGTTACATAGCTAACTGTTTTGTGATGAAGAAAAATGTATCCAGTTTTATAAGACACAAGGTGTTAATTTGAACTTTAAAGAGAGCCAGGCTAGCTCCCCCAGGCTACATCCAGTCTTTATGCTATGCTAGGCTAATCGCCTCTCCAGCTCCACGTCTTAGGGGTAAAAATCTTCTCATCTAAGTCTAAAAACAAAGTGTAAATGAGTATTTCCCAAAGTGTTGAACTATTCCTTTAAATTCAGTTATACCAATGACATGTTTTCACAGCCTTCCTACCTCCTGAACAGTGTTGTGAGGTGATAACAAGACAGAGGTTGGGTAAATGCTGCAGACATCATCCAGATGTTTCTCCAGAGTCTGCACAAAACAGCATGAAAATAGTCACATTTGTATGCACTTTTTGTAAGATGCATGCTTGTCATTCAGTAGCAGTCAGGATTTTGAGAGCTTATGATTCACAGTTGTGTCTCTTGTCTGAAAGAATTTACTGTCTCCAGTGTTGGACAATCTATTTTGATAAGCAGCTCTATTTTTCCATCACTACATAAGACCTTTAGCTGTCATGAAATGAGCTTTTGAGCCAGGCAGCAGTCCTGTCCATACATCCTGTTCCCATCCTCTTTTTTTTGCAACTGTTTTACATTCAGTCAATGCTGGATTCGGATTGTGAAGACATGACCTGCCTTTTAAACAGCGGCAGACAGTTCACTGCTCTACCTTCCTCTGAACCCTGCAGCTACCTGTCTGACTCCATGCAGCCTTTTACCTCAGTCTTACAGTGACGCAGGAACATCAGCAGCTCTGATCGGAGAACAAAGCCCAGGATAATCTGCGACTCTTCAACAGAAGAAAATAGAGGAAATCAATTTTCTTTGCCACATTTGGTGCTACAGTTTAGAGTGTGTGCAGCTCTCTAGACTGCTGTGAGTCCCCTGTTGAAAACATATGAATTCATCCATGTGATTGCAGCTCAACTGGCCGATTGACTATCTTCACACACTTGGCAGCCCCTCATCGAGGAATTTTCACACTGCTGAACGGCTTTAGCTTTTAAAACGGTTACAATTTTCATCACTTCTCTCATCATTTTCTTCTGCTCTTTTCAGGGACTCTATGTGGTGTCATAACTATATGTCTGATCTGATGTTTTCTAAAGGATCCTGCTGGCTTTGTGCCAATGTTCCATATCCTCTAGACAAAATAAAACTCCCTAAATAAAAAGACTGGGGTAAAATACTAGCAAACATCTTTGTCTACACACCATGTGAGTCCAGCACAGGGATTTGTGCGTCAGTGCTGGTGTTGACAGCATGCTGAACCTCCACTGGCCCAGCTGCTTTCTGAAGCCGCACTGATTTCACTCCCAAAACCTGTCCAACTGGTGTGGAGGGAAGCCTGCAAAAGAGATGAATCGTGTCACACCTGCAATGAAAGCATCTCATTGTTAAATCAAATAATAAATGAGGTTAATGCCTTTTCAAAACTATTCTCAGGTTGTAGGGATTCACAGGGTTTGAATGTGGGGATAAAAGAGGATCTGATATGTTGGTGCCCAGGTACAAATTATAGTGCCACTTCTGTCAGCACATTTACAGGGTAGCATTCAAACTTTTGAAAAGAGGCTCTGGCGAAACATTTTCAAGTAGTTTCAAGTAGTGTCTGGCAGACAAGAAGATGATCCGTGAGCAGTCTGAGTTTGTCAGAAAAATACTTGAAGCTGTCTCAGCGTGAATGTTGTCAACTAGGAGCAGTGGGTGATGACGGCTTGATTTTTATCTAGACACATTATTAGGGGCTAAAATCCAGTCTGCGTGAGAGACAGATGAGGAGGGAAAAACCTTAGTGGGGCTGCTAACTGCTATCACCAAGGCAGTCTGGAGACGTAGCTGCTGATCTAATTTGCATTCATTTTACATCTCCCAAACGACTCCTGCGTCAGTTTGAGGAAAGCATCATTCATTTTAAATACATTTGCTACATAAGCCATGTAACCTTCTGTCGCAATAGGAATGAACCAACTCTTTATTTGTATCTTCAATCAGTGCTTTCAAGGAGTTTTATATTCACAGCAGAATGCCTGGTGAGGAAAAATGACCTCCCTTTTATGTCTCATCAGTGACACAGCAGATTATTATCCGGGGTGGTTATGTTGAAAGATAGCAGGGAGTGTTTTTGTTGTGGCCTTCAGCACAAAGACCACACCAATAAATACAACGGTTGGATAGAAGAAGTGTGTGGTAAATATTCTAACTTGCTCATTTACATTTTAATGGAAAAAAACAGTCACCGCAAGTGAATCTTTTGGCAGGTGTACCATCTGAAAAAAGTGAATCTCTCCCAGAGTGCTTAATGCATTAGAGATGCTTTACTTTGGCAGGTAAAAGAAACTGTTCTAAATGGAGAAGTGTCCAAATAAAAGTCCTATTTTTGCCCTTGTGAGTAAGGTTCTCCTCCGTCAGAGCACAAATTAAGAATAATAGATATGTGGGTGGTTGATGGGACTCTTGATCGATACCGGTGACTCAGCCATTAGTTGGATGGCTGCTGAGATTTCTAGCAGTTGAAAATCCATCCCTCCATCTGCAGTGTTGTGCTGTGACTGAGCATCAGATATCCCTAGACATTTCAGGCTTGAAGGTCAAACAGTCTTTAGCTCGCTTATTGTATTGTGAAAATGTCAGTTTGAATGTCAATTATGGGTATGTGTGACCCAGTCAAGGGAATAAGAGGAGTGTAGAGTAAACAATGTCCAATTAAGCCTGGGAATGTTGGAGAAAGGACATATTACCTAAATGTGAATGGTTAATCCTCTATGCACCTGCTCTCAGAGTGGCTCATCTGTAATTAGACTCAACTGTGCTTTCAATTAAATGCTGCAGTTAGCGTTTTAACATGCATAGTCAGCATGGTAAAATGGTTTGTGCTGGTGTGTAACATTTAGCATGTTAATGAAATGCATACAGTTGGCAGTAATCTCAAGGTACAGCTGACAGTAATAGGAATTTAGTCATCGCTTTTGAGTTGTGTTGTAAACTGAATTCTTGGACAAGTGGAAGTTATGGTAGATTATTGGCATAAAATTAAAGTCAGGGGATCATCTGAGTCTTTATCTGACAAATTTAGTGGCATCTACTCAACATGTGCTGAAATATTTCACTCTGAATTATTTATTTATTCATTTTAACCGCTGACCAAAGAGATGATCATCCCCAAACTTAATTTCCTTAATCAGACAGACACTTTGTTGTTACTTACCGGGGGCATGCCTTCATCAGAGAGGGCAGGTGTGGGAGCTTCTTGCTGATTGTGAGTGCATCATAGAAAGATGGGCGGTGCCCAGAGCGAGCCACGGCATTGGCCAGCAGAGTGGCGAGTAGGATGGGTAGAGCGTGGCTGAACTGGCCTGTTAACTCTAATGCCAGGAGAGCTGGGGACAGGGTGTGTGTCACAGCCCCAGAGAAGGCTGCTGCACCTACAAAGCAGAAACAATGTTAAGGTACTACTTAATGATGTTGCAAACTGCAGTTAGTATTCTAACTAATATTTTGATCAGTATCTCTTTATCAGTATTTTATCAGACTTTATCAAACATGTCATACAAATATAGTATAAGCCAGGCACCTTTGACATGAACATAGTTATCATAGAGTTGATCAACATTACTCTGGTTGTCAGTGAGAAACTCTGAACCCAAGTTAAATCTAATGCAACACTGTAGCAGATGTGGCCCAAGTTTACGTCCAAATTTTATCTAACATATTGTTTTATATCCTAATATGAAACACTAATCACTCATTTTCTAGTGTGAGTTTACATCAAAATTATCAGATGTTATCATATTAACTGTTGGCAGATTTGATGTTAAAATCAGAGGGGTGTACAAAAACTTGCATTGGATGGTACAACATGCAGAATAGGATTAGTAAGATGATAGAGGGATATTAACACTGCAGATATACAGGTTATGTCATCACTATATCAACATCAAAGAGCCATTGCAGGTTTTCTACCAGCAAGTGCGTAACCCCCAGGATTTATAGAAGCCCATTGCTGGCCTGAAGTCAGTCCAGTGGAAGACACATAAGCTACTCCTTCTCCGAGCAAACGGCCCAAAGCTGCCCCTGGAGAACAGAAATTAGAATTAACACATAAAAAGAGTTTCTCCATCTTTGTAGTTCAATTTACAGCAGAGCTTAAACATTCTGGTGAGAGGCTGCAATGAGACAAATTCCTCAAACTTGTGCCGTTTAGGTAATTTGCAAATCAAACTCGTCCAAGTGCTTTGCTTTCCCTTACCATAGACAAACACTGGCATGAAGTATCCAGCTGGCAGAGGCAGAGTACAGGCAAGGACCAACATCCACATCTGAGAACCGACAACAGAGACAGACTGTCAAATCTCTCCTCACCATCTGAACAAATCTGCTAGCACAGCAGACGAGTCACTGTCAATCTGTGTGCAGGGAAATGTTTGCAGTGCTCTCCAATCAAATTAACTGAATCAGGCCCATTTACATTTCACATCTGCGTGTGGTTATGGGTAAACTGTCTTAGTAAGTGGATTCCACTGAGGTTTAAGAAACTGTTCTCAATGCAGAACTGTCCACATACAATGCTACATTTTTCTGCAACAGTAAGCAAGGCCCCCTTCTTGCCTTGGTCTAGACCTTTGAATCAGCCCACTCCACCTAGGTGACATGAAACAGCGATTTCTCAGTTAAAAATCAAGGGGAGCCCTATTCCAATCAGCACCACAGGTGGGACTCATGCCATTGTCCAGTTGTTGTCAAGCTGTTTACAAGGTGCGCCAGAACCATTGAGGAGTAAAAACATTGTAGAAAACCCTGGCAAAACAAGTATGTTGGCATTGCACTGCACTGCACTTGTATAACGCCTTTCTAGTGTTCACACACACATCTACACACACATTCACTCACACATTCACATACTGGTGGCCGAGGCTACCATACAAGGTGCCACCTGCTACTCAGTAACCATTCACATGCACTCACACACCGATGGAAGATGGAGTATCTTGCCCAAAGATACTTTGACATGCGGACTGGAGGAGCCAGGGACTGACTTGACTTCCGATTAGTGGATGACACACTTCTTCTGAGCCACAGCTGCCCCCTACTGCTACTCATTAGGGTGGACTTAAAATGATGTAGGATATGTCTCCAGTGAGCCTCCCCGACGGAAATCAGTTAGATTGGAGGCACTGTCAGACTGAAGATGAAAATCAAGTGTAACGAGTTGTCAGTTCTGTCTGATATCAGGCAAGCTTCCTTCCGCTTGGAGTACAAATAAGAATAAAACATATATGGCTGAAGGGGTTTCTGATTAATACCAGTGACTGTGCCATTGCCTGGCCAGCTGCTGAGATTTCTAGCTGCCATCTGCAGTATTGTTATAAGTGAGCATCAGATATCAGAAGACATTTGAGCCCAAAAGCTAAAGAGTCTTTAGCTCACTCACTCTACTGTGAAAATGTCAATTACTCTATGTCAGTTATGGGTCACTGTGAGCCAAAGGGAAATGGATGACTGAGCTTGGTGCCTGTTGCTTATCAGTGCAGGTAGACAGAGATGAAAGACTCCTTAATTGGCTTTATCCATAGCCTGTACCTTCATGAGCAGAAAGACAGCCAAAGGAAGGAAGACTGGACTCCCTGATGAATTCCACTCCAACAGAGGCTCGGGCCCCAGCTGAACAGAGGCATTGTGAGATTGAGAGCTCCACTGCCTGCTATCCAGTAAGGAGGTTAGGAGCTGCTTCATGGTGTGCTGTGAAAGAGATTACTGCCATTCAGATTTATGTGTGAACACTGGAGAAATCAGACTGAAACAAAGGGTGAACATTAAAGGACAACGCTGGCATTATTTTATTACGAATCTCATGAAAAGACAAGACAATTTATTTGTCTGTCTCTCAATGTTTTCTGACTACCCTACCCTGTCTGTGGCACTCAGCCTTTATCCCATTTGTTCCTGCTGAAGATGTAAGTCTTAAAAATGGGTCACATAAATACAGTTTTGTTTTTAAAGAGTTCCCCAGCAGCTCTGTGAGACTGCACTCTGATAGCATGGCTAAAAACCTAAAAAAAATAATTTCCTCAGAAAGCCAGTCACTGTGGATTTATAGCCTTGCTCCTAACGTCTGAATCAAAACCTGCATTCCCAGTTTTTCAGCAGCTGAAGCAGTTTGGTGCTCCTTAACAGATCAGTTGGGAAAAAACAACAGTTTTGTTCACAGGGTTAAGAAAGGGAATATAATCTCCCTGTGCCAAAACAAACAAAAAAATGGTGACAGATGTTTTGTTTTCTCAAAAAATGGAGACAATCTAGGCTGACATAGCTATACATGTTGTCGTAGTGAGTGTTTATGGCCACAGGAGGGTGTATGCAATTTTGACTTGACTTGAAATGTATCTTGGTGTGTTCCATTTGTACAAGAAAGTCAGAATTTCCAACCTCCCTGTCCAAAATTGTAACTGGAACGCCCCCTGAAGTTGGATTTCTGACTCGGAAAGTAAGAGGAACCTCATCGTCCTGACCTCAAAATCCAAGATGGCTGCTCTGTGCATCAACATTAGTGAAAGCTGCAGTGAAATATTGTTTATTAGCACTTCTGTGTTATTTGTGTCTCATTAAAACAGTCATACACACAGTATTGTCCAGCTTCTATCTGTGGACATGTTGGTGATGGTGTAGGCACAAAATACCAGTAACACTTTGGTTTTGTAGTGGAATGCAATCAACTCGAGTGTGACATCATTTCTAACTCCGACCTCCAGTTTCAAATGGAGCGCAGCATCTGTCTGTGTTCATGGTAATGAAGAAACACATCACCGTGTGCACCGTTTGGTTTAGCAGTGTGTTTTTAACAGTTTTTAAACAACAATTGAGGCCCATGGCACAGAGTAAAGTTTTGGTCTTTTCATGGGATTTGATATCAATAAGAAAAATATAGGATATCTCCAGCCTTATCCTTTAAAGCCACAATCTATAGTCTGCATTAATTTCTAAATGTGCTTTTGATTAAAGGTTTATTTCCATCAGTAATGTTTGTAAAGGAGTAAAACCTTGAGTTGAGTAACACAAAATTCTTATATATACAATATGGCTCCATGTCATTGACACAAAAATTATAACCTGTCGTGTCAGATGGTTACACATGTCTGAGAAACTGTCATTGGAAATTGTTTGGAACAAGGCCAAAAATACTTGGAAAGTTATTGGGTGAACAATCCATCATGAGCCAGTTGAGAGAAGAGCAAAAACATCTTTTCCATCAAGAAAGGCCTTCAGTGCTGCTCTTTGCTCTTCTTTCAGTGAAGAAATACTCTCCAGTTCTGATATAACCGATGCTTTTGCAGCATCTAAGTTAACTTAGGAGCTGCCATTGTTGTTTTGAACTAACAGTCACCTCTCCCTGTCATCACCCACGCCTTAACCATGCCTGTTGCTGTCATTAGCTCCTCAAAGGAAGCTGATTGGACACAGTCGCTTTACTTGAAGCCTGACAAAATGGATTTTCGTGTGATCACAAGGATCCGTCTGCCATGCAGGGTAACAAATATTATGGACTATGCGTTTACATTTCGTTCATTCCTACCTTAGAAGCCATGTATTGTCCAGCAAAGTGAGGAAACGTCAGCGACGCCAGGAGGAAGGCCACCATGCCTGAGTATAGACCCTTCCTGCAGAGAGATATTCATATACACAGGCACCATTGTTGTGTTATGCTTTCATTTAGGCCATTACCATTGAAATTTTAATAGGTTTCAATGAGTTGATTGCTCTCTGTGAACCCATCAGAATAAACATTAGCACTAGACCTGCTATTTATCAGATCTATGCTTTCAAGGGTTTACAGTGTTTTACACTGCTTAGATCTGGAGTATAGATAAAATCCCTGGGGATTTGTAAACCATTTAAATGTGGCTTAAAAGACCCTGCACAGTTTCATCATAAAGTTGTTTATAGTTAAGGATTTGGGGGTAATAGAGTCTGATTTGTTCTTGTGTAATGTGAGTTATCCTCAGATAAACTCATTATGTTTCGGTGACACTGGCCCATCAATCTGCTAGAATTAATACTCCTCCCAGAATCTCATGAATCTGTCTTACGCAGCAGGTGACTCATCACTGCATCACAATCTGGCCTTCACATTGTAAAGAGCTCTCACTGTATCGTCAGCATTTTGATGAAGGTCGGGTTTGTTTTGGTGAATCGCAGGATCCACCGATGGCAGAAGAGGTAGCAGCAGCTCAGGGCGCCACACAGCAGCCTGTTTCCAGACAGAAGGCCAACTCAGTCCACAGTGGGAGACAAGAAGCTTATTTTAACGCAGGCAGCAAGAGACTATTTGAAGTCATTAGACATGAGAAAGTGAAGACAAGGAGGAGGAGGAAGAGGAGGAAGAAGAGGAGGACAGGAAATGAGGAGGAAAAAAACTGAATGCTGATTAGAGGAAAACTCAGCAGAACTGGAACTGGTAAGATTATTCAGTGTGACTGATATGATTACGGATACCTAATGTCACTTTTTTTATTCGTGAGACACTGACAAATAGAGGACCTGTAACCATGCAAACTCACCCCAGGAAGGCAAACAGCAGAATCTCCATCGGGTAGAAAGGTAAAGCAGTGGGGAAATTAGTTTTGAACAGCGCCTGAGGAGTCTCTGTGGACATACAACAAATTGAAGTCATCCCTCCACTTTCTCCCAAAGCCTCTCAAAATCTAATCTTCCCTCTTTTTATTGCATTGAGATTTTATTGAAATTCACTGTCTGACAGTCTGAATGTCTCTGCTAATTTTGTCAAAGCTGATGTTCCCAGTTATTGTCATGACAAGTAATTAGATAGCTGTCAGCATCACTGACAAGCGTTACATGACCAAAGTGTTACATTTACTTTGGAAAAAAAAGGATTGTGTCCATTGTTATGTAAGAAAAATGCTTGAACCAAGCTCACTGTAGACATAATAATATTATTACCTCTTTTACAAATTGTTAGGGTTGTTGGTTGATTTCAGCACATACACTATATGGCCAAAAGCATGTGGACACCTGAACATTACAGTCATATGTGACTGTTTGCATTTCCCTCCAAAATCATGGGCATTAATAAGATATAGCTACCACTCGTCCAGGCTTTCCAACAGATTCTGTTATCGGTGGATTGCCTACCATACTGAACTCAAAAAACACTGGCTTTGTGCATGTCATGTTGAAAAAGGAATGAGACACCCACAAACTGCTGCCACAAACTTGGAAGCACAAAATTTCTGAAGTATGATTGTATGTGTAGTATTAAAGGAATACTTCACCCACACCATGTACCATTTGTACATTAATTATATTCTGCGTTACCTTGAATTCATGAAGAAAACTTTATTTTTCTTCCATGCCTCCACAGAAAATGGTGAACATTGAATTTTTGACTGGGGTCCATGTTTAACAACACCAGAACTATATCAAAACATCTGCTTACACAACACATTCTCGCTCTGACCTCGTCACGTATTGATGTTTGGTCATGGAATTTCCACGTCCAGATACGATGTGCAAGGTACCCTGGGTGTGATGGTTGCTGATGTTCTGGGATGCCGTGTCAAGTTCTCCCTGTTACATGCATTGTCTTCTTTCAAAAACTCTTACAATTTAATTGGAAATTTGCCATTTACATTCAGTCTTTTTTCAAAATTTGCGAATTGATGTCTTTCTTCCCTCAACAACTTACGCATATTTAGGAAAAAAGAAAGAAAAAGAAAGGGTTTGGCTTTATAATTTGTAGAGTGTAGAGTATAGAATTTTTTAGTGTTTGTTGGACCCATCCAGGATTCCTCCTGCCTGCCGTACTTTCGTTGCCTTAACTTTCGTTCTTGTCCCGACGTGTGTGTCCCTGATGCCACTGGGCGCCATTCAGCTATAACATCAACCGGCCGCTTATCATGCCAGCGTTACAGGACAGTTTTTTCTCGTCTGTGTCTGACACTGGAGGTCACTGTCCTGGATTTCAACGACTTTGGAGTGAGACCAGGTTGATTCACAAACTCTCACACAACTCATGCAGTATAACCCTGATTACACATGCATCTTTGCTAATAAACCTTAATATTGGAGTCTAGCTTTGAAGAGACTATAGATAAGTTTCACATTCACTTCAGTGAGTAAGGTTTTAGCAAAAAATACACGTGTTTGGGAAGTACTGAGCGTATGACTGGATAAATGAGCTATGGATTATACTGCATGAGTTGTTTGAGAGTTTGTAAATGGATGTTTTGATATAGATTTCTTGTTGTGGAACATGGTCTCTAATAACTCAATATGTTTTCTGTGGAGGCATGCACGAAAAAAGTTTTCTTCACAAATTCAAAGTAACACAATATGAATAACTGGCATTCAAATAGTCATTTTTGCAGGTGAAGTATTCCTTTAAGATTCCCCTTTATTGGAACAAAGAGCCCATGCTCACACCATTAAAAAGCCTCAGATGAAAAGTAAACAAAAGTATATGGACAGCAGTGATATGCTTCTGGCCATATAGTGTAGATAGCTTGAATTCACGCTTCCAAAAACTTGAGTCTTAGCTGATGTTATTGGGTTTATGGTGCCTTTTCCTCAGGTCAAGTTTTCAGTGACTCTTTCATGAACCTTCTCCTTGTTGACCATGAGGGGGCAATCAGGGCCTTCATTACCTGAATCTCCGCTCCACACTGAGAACAGGCGGAAGGTCAATGCTCCACAGGCGGCTGAGAAGAAACACGGGCAGTAATGCCTCAGGGCGAAGTGAGAACACATAACTTCCACTGTGAACAACACACCTACAGGAGCAGAGGAAGGTTAAGAAGTCACTTTAGACGACTCTTTAAAAAAGGCAGTAAGTATTCTCAGCTAAATGAGCATAACTCTTCAGACAACAGTGAAAAATGATCCTTTTGCCTGAATGTGTGGCAATAATCATATGGAAAGGAAATGTAAAAATATGCATTTATTCCAAGTGTTAATCGACAGTCGAATATTTTATGTTAATAATGATAACGACATTTTTAATTTGTCTTACGCTGTCAGTTTATCTTACAAATGGAGTTTGGAGCTGAGATGCTGAACCGCCAACAAGATTACCAAAATGAAATAAACAGCGAGCTGAGAGGACCATAATATTCGGCCTGAAGGTGATCAAAGAAGGAAGAAGTGAAAGAAAATGATTTGTGAATGAACTTATAAACATGTCAGAGGAGGAGAGGTGCGAGGGAGGATAAAAGGGGAGACCAATTATGCGAAGCTAACAGGAAGGAAATCAAGTGTGGAAACGCATTAACCAGACAAGTGTGAGAAGAGCAGATAAAGCACGAGCAGAAACATAGAAATTCCTCATGCAGAACCTTAACTGGCTCTCTCACCGCTGATGGGTGCGCCAAAGCAGCTGGCTACACCGACTGCAGCAGCTACAACCAGCATCTCTCCAGCAGCTTTTTCCTAAAAGAGAAGTATGCAGTAATGTGCTGTCTCTTTTCAGACGTATGTATTATATGAAAAGTAACAATAACATGCATTATGATTGTTCCACACCTGGGGATTTTTCCTGTTTCTATTCTGACCAAATGTCTTTGTCTTTATAAACTACAAACAAAAATTTTTGTTGTTCCTTGAACCTGCACTAATTCTTTTTTTTGGCAACTGTCAACTTATAAAGCTATTTTGGTATATGTATCACAAACAGTTGCCTATTTACAAATTTGGAAAAAACACTGAGCGACATTAGCATTTTGAAATCTTAAAAGCAAGTAGTACAATCTGCACATTGTTCGTACGCTCCCAACTGTGTGATTGAACAACATTAGCACTGGTAATTCAGAGTCGTGTTATACCGCAACATGTTACATGTTAGTCCAATAGTCTCCCTTTTAGCTCTGTTTTGGTCTCCACCAACTGCCAAAGGAAATATTAGGCTCTTTATGCTCAAAGTGTGGCCTGTGCATTGTTGCCAGATGGGAAATGAAGAAATATCGTACTGACGCTTTAAAATTATCGCATTTTGACCCAAACTATCGTATGTACTAAAACAACACATGCTAGGACATTGCATTTAAAAACAAAGCTATTCTATGTGCATGGAACTGCAATAGCCCTTATAGGCAAGGCGATAAAGCTGCTGTGCCCGGCGGGGTTGCTTGTTTTCTTACCGGTGCCTGTGTCTGTGCTACTGGACTCTTTTCTCTTAGTACTATTTTCTTCCGAGTCTGAACTCATGTTCACTTATTTTTTCCAGTGGCTACCTAAAGTTTGTTGGTCAATGCCAGCGTAGCTGCGCAAACAAACAGGAGCTGAGCGCTACTGATGTGATTGGTAGCGAGGAGGGGGGATACGCCAGCCAGGTATCAGCTGATCGGGTATGAGCAGGCATTAGTTTCTGTTGATGTGTGGTTGTTCACGTAAATCAAAACGACGCACTGTGTGTACACGGAAATGCCAAAACTATTGTATATTTTACCTTTTTAAAAGTATTTATCATATATCGTATGGTCCCTAAAACTATTGTATAAATACGATAATTATCATATATCTGGCAACACTGGGCCTGCGGGACAATGACGGCCCACAGAAACAATTTTTTGGTCCATGAACTTTTTATACTTTAATTTTATAGCTTACATTTAAAACACCAGGCTACTGTGTCAAGCTGTGTTGCCCCTAAGCACATGTCAGGTTGGGAATTACAACTTGTAATAAGCTATGACTTGCACGGCAACTAGTGACACCTTAAAGTGCGTCAGGAATAAGGTCTACTTGTAGGCCTTCATTCTGTCATCAATGCCGAATATCAATTTTGGTGGACAACTTGGAAGTTTAATGTGGAAGTGAGATGGAAAAGACATTTTGTTTTATGTTGTTTTTGTGCACCATTCCTGTGCAGCCCTCGATCATACGCTGGCTTCTTACATTGGCACTCTGTCATCAAAGCTTTGGGAACCCCTGTGCTAAATGCTCCAATATGTACACAAGCTAATTGCTAACTTTGTCTGTGTTGTGCTCGGCGAGTTGTGTACGGTGGATTTGTCTGGACTCTGACTGCTGAAAATACCTGTTTGCTCCTGCTGTAAACAAAGTTGAAGAGAGGGGAGTTTACAGGCCAGAAAAACCCATTAAAATTAGTTAAAAGAGGCTGATTACAATTAGACACAATTAGAAATGTGGGAAAAGTGGTATTACTGTGGCTTTACCTTCTTATTGGCTTGTGTAAGAGTGCAGAGTTTGCTCAGGTAGGCTCCAACCATGGTGGAGAGATGCACAAATGGACCCTGATGGTAAGAGACAAATACATAGTACTGTTTTTACAATGTAACAAAATTGCATAATGTGCCATTTTTAAAGAATAGCTGCATATTTTGCATGACAAACAGGTATACTGAGACGTCTCTCACCACTTTGCCCAAGAAAACAGTGCTGCCAGCTGCCAGTGTGCAGATAAGGCCCAGGAACTTGGTAAACATATTAGTGAGAGACAAGTAATGAGGCATTTCAATACCGGCCAGCATAGTCCTCACCTCTGGTATCCCCGAGCCTGAGCAGAAATGAAGTAACGGGACAGTATTTTAAAAAGACTCAAGAAGCAATCAAGAAGTTTTGAAAAAGCTGTTCTAAGAGAATGCACAGGAGTGATTTCAGAATAATTAAATACGGACGATCAGCATATCATCACAGCATCACAGCATAATTTAGTTTGTGACCACCAAGCCCTCTCCTGCACTGCATCCAACACCAGCATACATCAACATTTAAAAAAACTGCATATATGGCTGTCTCATTTATATATCATGCTTTACAGATTTTCTCTGAGACAGATTAAATCACACTTGACTTTTCATACTCTACGTCTCCATTTACCGCTCTCTGAATTTGATGGATAATATCACACTTGACTTTTCCTTAATGCCATTTACTTCATGTAGGAAAGAAAGGAGTGAGAAATATAGACATACGTCTCTGTTCTATATTTAATCTTTTTCAAGAATACATGTGCAGCACCGAAAATGGAAATACTGTATCCTGTACTGTGCCAAGGAAACTATAAAAGAAGGTGAGGACATGACATGAGTGACAGCGTTTGAATTTTGCTTTGGAGCCAGACTTTGATGCCACCTCTATTGAAGTCATTGGGACAGGTGTGTGAAATAACACCATAACCCATCTTATCTTTGTTGTTTCACCTTTGACTTAAAAAATCCTTTCACAAAAAAAAAAAGAACACATTACGTGATGTCGACTGAAGTTTTTTTTTAATGTAGGGGCCTAAATGTGCTCATTTTCCTTGTTAAACTGTGGCTGCATGACCTTTCCTTCTTTTATAGTTTCCTTGTAATGTGTGATGAGCTTTACTCTATCTGATTTTCTTTGTTCAGGTTCTAGCCTTTAGCTTAATAAATCTTTCACTAAAACAAATACCATGAAATGAATGAATTTTCACTTATATTTCACCGACCATTCCTTCTTTTCTGTGTACGTTTTGATTTTAAATCAAAAAGCTACAAGGAAAATACCAGGTCAGATATCTTGCTCTTTAGCAGCTAGCTTGTTGCTAACTATAGCTGTATAACTGTTGCTGGACAGACCTGTGGAGAAGGGACAGATGTTGTGGGAGAATGATGATGCAACAGCACAGAGGCATGCTGGGTAAAGAGTCCAGCAGAAGAACTGCAGCAGACTATTTCCCTCCAACTTCATATAAAGCCACTGGTGAGCTACAAGTGGAGAGAAAGAGAACATTAATGATCTGTGATGACCTTTGCTCATTCAGATTGTGCCCTGTGTGTGTGTGTGTGTGTGTGTGTACCTCCCAGCAGTTTTGCCACACAGAGGTCCGTCAGGAAGCTGAGGATGGCAGTCAAAATGCCAAGAGCAGCATAGCCATACCACTCCATCCCACACACTGTTTCCAAACAACACCTCAGCTTCAGCAGCCACACTAAGAGCACAAACATCTCAGTTAGTCTCTCTACAGTTTGTGTCTTGTGAGGCCAGAAAACATGCATTCAAATGTAATAACATTTTTAATTGCACATATGCAGAACTTAGGTCTGGAAATGCAAGAAAGTACCTAGTACCACGGCCACACAAGCTTGGATGAAATACTGAATGGGTCTAACAAGCACAGGCTCAAGGGCCCAAAGTTTCAGGAGGCTCCATGGCCTTCACATGCAAAATGCCACTCAAATTAATACAAACCCACCAGGAAGAGACTCGAAAAGACCACAAAGAGATGCAAAAGAACTGCAAAGGTAAACAAAATATCAACAAAAATGGGCAAAAACAACAACAGAGGGACACAAAATGACGGCAAAGAGACACAAACAACCACAAAGGGACACAAAATGACTACAAAGAGACACAAAACAACCACAAACGGATGCAAAATGACAACAAAGAGACACAAAACAACCACAAAGGGACACAAAATGACAACAAAGAGACACAAAACAACCACAAAGGGATACAAAATGACTACAAAGAGACACAAAACAACCACAAAGGGACACAAAATGACAACAAAGAGACACAAAACAGCCACAAAGGGACACAAAATGACCACAAACAGACACAAAACAATCACAAAGGGACACACAATGACTACAAAGACACACAAAACAGCCACAAAGGGACACACAATGATTACAAAGACACACAAAACAGCCACAAAGGGACACACAATGACAACAAGGAGACAAAAAACAAAGGCAAAATGACACAAAATGACCACAAAGGGACACACAATGATTACAAAGAGACAGACAAAATGTATATATATATATATATATATATACAGTACAGGCCAAAAGTTTGGACACACCTTCTCATTCAATGCGTTTTCTTTATTTTCATGACTATTTACATTGTAGATTCTCACTGAAGGCATCAAAACTATGAATGAACACATGTTATGTACTTAACAAAAAAAGGTGAAATAACTGAAAACATGTTTTATATTCTAGTTTCTTCAAAATAACCACCCTTTGCTCTGATTACTGCTTTGCACACTCTTGGCATTCTCTCCATGAGCTTCAAGAGGTAGTCACCTGAAATGGTTTTCCAACAGTCTTGAAGGAGTTCCCAGAGGTGTTTAGCACTTGTTGGCCCCTTTGCCTTCACTCTGCGGTCCAGCTCACCCCAAACCATCTCGATTGGGTTCAGGTCCGGTGACTGTGGAGGCCAGGTCATCTGCCGCAGCACTCCATCACTCTCCTTCTTGGTCAAATAGCCCTTACACAGCCTGGAGGTGTGTTTGGGGTCATTGTCCTGTTGAAAAATAAATGATCGTCCAACTAAACGCAAACCGGATGGGATGGCATGTCGCTGCAGGATGCTGTGGTAGCCATGCTGGTTCAGTGTGCCTTCAATTTTGAATAAATCCCCAACAGTGTCACCAGCAAAACACCCCCACACCATCACACCTCCTCCTCCATGCTTCACAGTGGGAACCAGGCATGTGGAATCCATCCGTTCACCTTTTCTGCGTCTCACAAAGACACGGCGGTTGGAACCAAAGATCTCAAATTTGGACTCATCAGACCAAAGCACAGATTTCCACTGGTCTAATGTCCATTCCTTGTGTTTCTTGGCCCAAACAAATCTCTTCTGCTTGTTGCCTCTCCTTAGCAGTGGTTTCCTAGCAGCTATTTGACCATGAAGGCCTGATTGGCGCAGTCTCCTCTTAACAGTTGTTCTAGAGATGGGTCTGCTGCTAGAACTCTGTGTGGCATTCATCTGGTCTCTGATCTGAGCTGCTGTTAACTTGCGATTTCTGAGGCTGGTGACTCGGATGAACTTATCCTCAGAAGCAGAGGTGACTCTTGGTCTTCCTTTCCTGGGTCGGTCCTCATGTGTGCCAGTTTCGTTGTAGCGCTTGATGGTTTTTGCGACTCCACTTGGGGACACATTTAAAGTTTTTGCAATTTTCCGGACTGACTGACCTTCATTTCTTAAAGTAATGATGGCCACTCGTTTTTCTTTAGTTAGCTGATTGGTTCTTGCCATAATATGAATTTTAACAGTTGTCCAATAGGGCTGTCGGCTGTGTATTAACCTGACTTCTGCACAACACAACTGATGGTCCCAACCCCATTGATAAAGCAAGAAATTCCACTAATTAACCCTGATAAGGCACACCTGTGAAGTGGAAACCATTTCAGGTGACTACCTCTTGAAGCTCATGGAGAGAATGCCAAGAGTGTGCAAAGCAGTAATCAGAGCAAAGGGTGGCTATTTTGAAGAAACTAGAATATAAAACATGTTTTCAGTTATTTCACCTTTTTTTGTTAAGTACATAACTCCACATGTGTTCATTCATAGTTTTGATGCCTTCAGTGAGAATCTACAATGTAAATAGTCATGAAAATAAAGAAAACGCATTGAATGAGAAGGTGTGTCCAAACTTTTGGCCTGTACTGTATATATATATATATGTGTGTGTGTGTAAGAGAGGTGATGGGGCCATTGGCATATCTGCGCCCAGGGGCCCTTTGTCTCACAAGGTTCTTAGAAAGCTATGCTAAGCTCCAGGTTATGGGTTACTAAGTTTGTGTAGAGGAAAAGGGCTGTAAGACTGATCTTCATTTAGGATGTGGTCTGATGTAAGCAGAAGAAAACACAGACCTTCTAATATAAGTGTGTGTGTGTGTGTGTGTGTGTGTGTGTGTATTTATATATATGCAACAGGTCATACTTATGATGAAAACAGTCACAATCTGTCTCCTATAATATCCTGCATATCATCATATCTTAAAGGTCTTTTAGCACATTTTACTGTGTTGTCCTTGAACTCAACAATAATCTTTGACCTTTCTCATTAATGCCAAACGAAGCTCATGCATGAAATCAAATGCAGATTGGCTTAAAAATAGCCACTCTCTGATGTATTGATCGGGGCAGTATTGATCACACTCTAATGATTTTCCTCCCCAGTCTGACCTTTGACAGTTGCGCGGGACCGTCTGCATGGTTTCCATGGATCACCAAGGAGAGGAGTCTTATTATGGGCTGTCTCTGATTGATTTTCTCGCTCCCAGTTGTTGTTCTTTCTAATGATTTCCCTCCCAGAAGGTGCATCATCCAGGTCCTTCATGTTCTTCTGAGGTGTTATTGTGTGATTAACACAGTCTCAAACAACATACAGGCTCAGTGGTGATAGAAAAAACATAAGTGCACTCCTGTTCTTATATCTACTGCAAAACACAAATAGAAATCAAACAGACTTACCTTCTGGTTGCACTGCAGGTGTTATATGTCCATTCATGTGTACATGTAGGTGTGCTGGTACCACCACTGACCTCTGTTAAGGTATTAGCACAGAAGTGATGGAGCGGTCACGGTTGACAGGGTAGCTAATATTAACTCTTTAAAAGAACATGTGCCCTTGCTTGATTGCAGAACGGAAACATTTTCATGCTACTCTGCTGTCTGATAGATTTTTGGTAATAATAACCACAATGATACAGAACATAATTGATTCTAGTGTAGTATATTTCCTATAAATGTGAACATGAACAGCTGGTACTAGTGGTGATCATAATGTTCATATCTGTTTGTGTTGTCAAACTACTATTTTCAAGGTCAAGAGGGTTTTACAATAATATTTGAATAGTATTTTTTATTAGCTGCAATTACAGGGTGCTTTGCAGAAAGATATAACAATGCGGGAGATATTAAATAAAGGTCAGGAAAGAATTGATATAGATAAAGATCCATGTCAGTTGGAGATATGTCTACACAAACCATAGAACAGTAAAGGTTTGTTTTACAGCAGTAAAATGTGCAGTCAAACATTGTTGTATTAAGGAAAATGGTCTTCGGCAACTGAAGAAATCTCTTTTTTCATTTCTGTTTGTGATACAGAGATTTAAAATGGTTTTGATTATTATTATCATTTATTTGCCCATAGTCAGTGTGGTTGAAGTGGTGAGTATTAATGTCTTTGAACCTTTTTTGGAGGGGGTGGCAGTATGAGAACCATTACAGACAATCATAGGCAAGTTAAAACTGCTGTAATATATAAATTTTTTTGGCCACTTGGGGGCAGCAGAAACAAATCGTAAACACAACACTTCTGTCTTTTGACGTTTTCTAATTTTCCTGCTGTGGGAAAAATGTCACACAATATGTCACAGTGTGTAAAAGCATTTTACATAAAGTGAAAAACAAACACAAAACACCCTGAATACTTAAATATATCAGGACATAATGCCAGGACTACTGTTAAACCTTTTAGGGTGGGACAAATTATAGCCTTATCATTCTTATTAGCACATATTGTACCTTATGTCTGAAAGACAGGTCTTTCTTTTGTTTTGTCCACAATATTTACATCAGTGTGATTCGACTAAACAACAGAACCACAAGCTGAAGCCTCTAAAATAACCATAAAGTTGAATCAACACCAACAGCTTCAACAAAAACTGAGCATTATAATCTTAATGAAGAAGGGGTTTATTGCAGAACAGTTGTATTATCGAGGTCATGGGTCTCATTTTAATACCGGGGGTGGGGGGGACACATACAAGACAGGCGGTTTGGAGGTCCTCCACCAGAAAATTTTAAGTGTCCTCCTTCTGGTAATTTTCATGTACCAATTTGTGGCTTCTCTGCATCAGTTTAGAGTGTAGACATCTTCAACTATGTCACATCAAAAGTTCTCTGCTACCTTTATGTTTTTATTGATAGGGGACAAATATTGACAAATATCTAAATATTAAGGGGTTCATGTCCCCTGTGCCCCCCCCCCCCCCAAAACCTATGCCTTTGTATATTGGACTACATTGTACCTGATAAACTGAATGTCTGTCACTGCAGAACAATTCAGTTATCTTACACATACAGTGTTGGGAAATTGTCTACCTTTTAAGGGGTGCTTTAATTTTGTATACCATGGAAAGAAAAATGTTGATTCGTCGAGTGACATCAGGAGCTACGCACCCCCCTCTAATTAAAAATGCAGCATGGATGTAAGTCTGCACAAAATTTTCCCCAAACTTAGAGGGACTCTTGACTGAGAAGAGTAGGTCAGTCACTGCTGCAACAAACATAGCACAAGGAGCAAAGGGTAGTAATCAAAATTTTGTATTAATTTGATTTGATTTTGATAGACAGGCATATAAAAAATTGGGACAGCACATTAATGTTGATTGTACTGACTGTCCTCCTAATGATAAAGGCAGTAAACTCCAGGTAAACAGTGTTCCAAATCCTGTTTCAGGGGATGCAGCAGAGGGGGGAAATCAGCTTTAAAGAGGTCCTTAAAGTCATGTGTGACCCAGATTCCTAGGTGCTTAAATTTGTGTGTACCTACTTTAAGGGGCATGAATTAAATGCAGTCAGCTGGGTCTTATCAGATCATTCTGTATTTATACTTTCTATTTTGAGTAAATAAATTAAGTCACACGGAAAAGAATGGGTGGCACGGTGGTGTGATTGTTAGCACTGTCGTCTCACAGCAAGAGGGGGTTCCTGGTTCGATCCCAGGAGGGAGCCCCTCTGTGCATGTTCTCCCCGTGTCAGCGTGGGTTTTCGCCGGGTACTCCGGCTTCCTTCCTCCAGTTGGTCACTCTAAATTGCCCTTAGATGTGAATGGTTGTTTGTCTCTATGTGTTAGCCCTGTGATAGTCTGGTGACCTGTCCAGGGTGTACCCTGCCTCTCACTCAATGTAGAGATTTCTTTCTTTTTCTTCATGTTTTCACTAAAATTACCGCCAGTTTGGGTATAGGTATTCCTCTTTGTAAGGCCCATCGTGACTAATGGGAGAAGCTGGAGTCTGCATCGGACTGTCCCCTCAGCCCCTTGATGTCCACACCCAATGGTTGGGGTGTCACCAAAGACCTTCTGACCTGATGCAGCAGAAAGAGGGCAACTTTCCAAAGCAGCTGAGGGCTCTCTTCAGCTTTGAGGCCAACAAATGCCACTGAGCTCCTTCTGAGGCATCTGTTTTATAAGGAGAAGCCAAGAGATGGCGTACTCACACAGACCATTAAGTTTATATACCAAAAAGACTGAAATGCTTAAGTTATGTCTTTCTTGTTAGGACCATTATACTGTATGTGCAAAACTGGTGCGTGTGCATCATATCCTGAGAATTTAAATGAGCTTTTCAGCCTTAACAGCAAGTGTGACTGTTTGAGAAGTAAGGTCACAACTCTGAGCCTTGTGAAATTACTGTGGCAGCAAAAACTTGAAAGAGCAGCTGTGAATGCAAAGGCACCCCTTACAAGATGCACTGGGCTTTAAACAAACTCTGATGTAAACCCATCCGTGGCAATACTTGACGCTGAGAGCAACTGACATAAGATAAAGAGCGAGAATGTCTGCATAGGGCAGAAGGGAGGAGAGGTGGGTAGATAAAACAAAACCAGACTTTGAGCCAGGAGACCACACCGTATGTCCCATTTGAATGCAAAAGTCAGTGTTGTTTTAATGTAACGTCATGTAATTTACACACTGATGTCACTCACATATTTTTGTAACCTTACGTTATTTATACATAACAAATGTACTGATTTTAACCTGAAACATGATTTTTTTTGGTAAACCCAACCAAGTAGTTTTGTTGCCTAAACCCAACCGTGACAACTTTTAACCATGTGTCACAATGTGTTTCAGCTGTGCATTACATAGATTTGCTGAAGGGTGCACTGTGCATTGCAGTCAGACCCTGAGAGGTGTGACAAAATGTCGGTATTTGGCGCTCTGGGAATGACAGCAGGTTGCTATGAGAGCTGTGAGAGTGAACCGAAACATTAAAGTTGCAGACAGGCAGCTAAACAATGAGCTGAAATGCACTACACAGCTTTGTAAAGCCAAGGAGATGTGATAATTCTCTGCAGGTTGTTACGATCAAATATCAAGCACAGCTGCTTTAAAGGTAGGATCTGGAGGATTGTCAAACAAAACAAAATATAGACATATACAAATGAAATCCTGCTTAATCATCACCTATGGGCTTCTACTCATGTGTGGTGGTGACTCTGTTTGCAGAGCTCCTGCCCTTTAACTGTATTTTGATGTTTTTGTGAGCTCAGACCGCTTCTGGGTGGAGATTTCCCCAGCCAATGAATGTGCGCAGATGCCGTGCCTGAGCGTATCCGAGCATGTCCGAGCGTGCACCAGCGCAAGCCTTGCCTGAACCTCTTCTGTGAAGCCTTCTTCCATACCTCCGGGCTCCGTACACCCGGGAGAGTTGAGCCTGATAGGAGGGGCCAAATTTGAATGTGTGTTTACAAACGGCAACTGGAAAATCCCCTCCTCCAGACCCTACCTTTAAAGGTAGGGTCTGGAGGAGTTTTCCTGTAAACAAACACAATTATACTTTTTCACCAAAAATCTTTGTGTGAATCCTTGAGACCTCACAAATGCAAAGAATCTATTTCCTACCTTATAAAACATTGGCGTGAAAAAATTTTTTTTTTCCAGTGGATGTCTTAGTTACAACATGATTGAGCTAACTGGAGTAGTTTCATGTCGTATCCGACAATGGGAGGCTTTTAACAGATGACGTCCTGATGTTAGCTTTGCTGCTGCTGCTGCTGCTGCTGCTGCAGCCACTGATGCTTTCTAGACATCGTGGTTTTTCCAAAACTGAATAAATACCACACATAGCAACACAAAACTGCTTTGCTAGCTCAGTCATGTTGTAACTTAGATATCCGCTGGAAAAAAAAAAAAAAATTCACGGACCATTTAAGAGTTAATGAGTCATTACAGACACCGCTAACAGGGCTAAGAGCTAATGGTTGTTAGCTTAGCTTAGGTTGTTAGTCCCTCCAAAGGGACACTAACAACTCAAAGTACATGTCAAATAAAATTTCTCCAAACATGTTTCTTGTTATTTTAGGTAGTTATTATCACGCTAATGTATGTTCAAGTGTCCATTTCCCCCGATAAGTTGGTTTTAATTTGTTATTTGATTCTATAAACACAGTCTGGCCATCTTCAGCTTTTATTTTGGTACTTCCGGTGATCGGCAGTGTGAATTTGCATATTAGCTAAATATTTAGTTTCACCCAGAACATTTAGATTTAACATTTAACATTTAGATTTAGCATTTAGATTTAGATTCAGATTTAATATTTAGATTTAACATTTATATTTATATTTAGCATTTAGATTTAACATTTAGATTTAGATTTAATATTTAGATTTAGATTTAGATTTAACATTTAGATTTATATTTAGATTTAGCATTTAGATTTAGATTTAGATTTAGATTTAGATTTAGCATTTAGATTTAGATTTAGATTTAACATTTAACATTTA